GCTATTAATATTCTTTATCCTCCCTCTGACTTAATTCCTGATCCAATTCTTGATCAAAATTCAGATCAGCCTCCTCCATCTCCTAAAAATTCCCTGTCTTCTCCGGAAAAAACTTCTCCACCTCCTGATCCCCCACTCCCTCCTCCTTCTTGTCCTTCTTCTTGTCCTCCTCCCTATAATCCTTCTCTTGTTTCTGCTGTTAACCCTATCCACTCCGATGATCTTCCTGCTTCCTTGCCTGTTCGTAATACCTTTCAGGAAACGCTGATTCAAGGAAAAATAGATCCGGAGGACCTCTCTTGTTTTCCCATGGTCCTCCAAGCCCCGGCAAGTGGTGGAAATGCAAATCCTGCTCCTCAATCTCTGCTTTTAACATCTTCCCAACTTGCCGCTTGGCACAATGATGAGATTCAGATGGGAGCAGAGGGTTATCCCATCATGAGAAATGCTGCTTTAAATGCCTTTCGCAGGGTCCCTGATCCTTCTCAACCTTCTTTGTCTTTTAACAAAATTCTTCAAGGACCTTGTTCCAATCTTTCCCCTTTGTCTCATGGTAGCAGAGCGGGGCCTGCAGCTAGCCCCACCCCCAAGGCTGCACCCCCCTCCACACAAACAGCTTCCTCTGTTCTGCTTTCAACTGCTTTTATCTATGAGGATCCTGGATCTCTCCCTCTGGCAGTCACGCTCCCCCGCCCGCTCTCACCTCACACGCCCATCTTACTCATCCCAAACTCCTCTTTGATCATGGAAGGGGTGGTCGCTGCCCCCTTTCTTTATGACTCATCTGCTCTTAATTGCCTCTCTCTAGCAGTTGGAGGTGATAGACTTTTTTCATTGCCTGTTAACACTATAGTAGCCACTCTTATTACTGCAACCCTTTCCCCTCTATTCCATGCCCTCACGGGCTTGATCGCATCATCCCTAACTGTCTGCTCTTCTTGGCTGTCTTGCCCACACCAGCCCTTTTCACAGCCATTCTTTTCCAAATTGATCCCAAGACAAAAAAGCTATACATCATCGAATGGCTTCACCTCCCTCACACTCCTAGAGCAACTGTCACCTCTAGAGCCCTTCAGCTCGCTCTGCTTTGTATCAAGGGACGTCACCGAGCAAAGGCTTTGCTCGCTCACAATCTTCAAGCTATACACATTCCTTTCAAACTCTCTCAATGGGAACCCCTTTTTCAGACGTCAGATGTATTACAGGACGCTCTGGAAAATTGGATTGGTCCCATCTCCTGTCATCTCCCTTCTGACCCCCGTTTGCAGCTAATTAAAACGATACCTATTACCTCTTCCTCTCCAGTAGTTGCTTTTCCATTAATTCAAGCCATCACAGTTTTCACTGATGGCTCTAAAACTCATGGTGCTTGTGTCTGGTATGATCAAAGTAACTGGCACAAGCAACTGACAAAGCCCCAATCATCGGCACAGCAAGCCGAATTAGCTGCTTTTAACTTAGCCTTGAAGACATTTCCTGGACAACCAATTAACATCATAACGGATAGTCTATATGTCTCCCAATTGGTCTTACATATTTTTGAGGCATATCTATCTCCTTCTATACAACCATCATTAATGACACTGTTGCTTCAGCTGCAAATGCTCATTCAATCTAGGACCCATTCTCTATTTGTAGCCCACATACGTAGTCACCAACATCTCCCAGGTTTCCTTTCAGAAGGGAACCAGGTAGCTGATACTGCTTGTAAAGTACTTCCCATCAGTATTAAGATGCCTCAACCTTCCCCTCTATTAGCAGGGGAAAGTCATAGTTATTTTCATCAAAACAAAAAGGCTCTGGTTAAACAATTTGGCATTTCTCTGGAAGAAGCAACCGCAATCATACAACAATGCCCCACTTGCAGTTTGCAAGCAAAAACTCTCCCTCAAGGGATTAATCCCAGGGGCATAGAGGCTTGTGAGACATGGCAAATGGATGTCACTCAATTCTCACCTTTTGCCCCTTGGAAATACCTTCACGTGTCTATTGACACCTATTCAGGGTTCATCATGGCAACCCCTCAAAGGGGAGAAACGTCAAAGCACGTTATCAATCATTGTATTCGGACCTTCGTAGTACTGGGACCGCCAAAAAATCTAAAAACAGATAATGCACCAGCCTATATCAGCTCTCAATTCTCTGAGTTCTGCCATCACTGGTCCATTATCCACATTATCCATTGGGATCGCCTACAATAGCCAGGGGCAAGCTATAGTTGAAAGGGCTCACCAAACCTTAAAATTGGCATTACAACGATACATGGGGTCAAAAGGCCTTAAGGGCCCCCCTAGCCTCCCAGTATTACAAAATGTGTTAAATGTTTGTCTGTATACGCTTAACTTCCTCAATCTCACTGGCACCCCTCCCCTGTCTGCTGCGTCTTGACACTTTACTAAACCACCTGTTCCCACTTCGAGACCACTTGTCTATTATAGACAGTTACCTGATCCTGCGTGGAAAGGACCTGCCGAATTGATCACCTGGGGTCGAGGCTACGCGGCAGTCCAGCTTCCTGACAGAACTCTCTGGGTTCCTGCAAGGTGTGTCCGCCCATATCACCGCCCACAACCAGCGGAGCCATCATCCCAAAAAGATGACAGCACTCTTCTTCTTCCTGCTTGGCTGTTCGCTTCGCTGGACTGATGGGACATCCACCAGCCTTAACGCCCATAGGCCATACAACATCACATGGGTCATCAAGGACGCTTATGGACAAATACTCAACTCTACAACTAATTACACCATGATTTCTTCTTATTTCCCCAAATTACATTTTGACTTTGCTGAAATGATTATGTATTATTGACAAAAAAATTCCTTTTGTATTCAGATACAATTGCTTCCCAAAATTGATGTATATAACTCAGAAGATTTTGTTTCTTTACTAGAACCTAGACAATATAACCTTAGGGCAAAAAGAGAAGTAGTAACTGCTTTGACCTTAGCTGTACTGCTGGGGTTGGGGGCTTCTGGGACGGCCACAGGTATAGCTGGCCTTGTTACTTCTGATCAGCATTTTCGCCATTTAAGCGCCACCATAGATGCAGACTTACGCCGCATTGAACAATCTATAGTTGCTTTACAGAACTCCCTCACTTCCCTATCTGAAGTTGTCTTACAGAATAGAAGAGGTTTAGATTTGTTGTTCCTCAAGCAGGGTGGGTTATGTGCAGCACTGAAAGAAGAATGTTGTTTTTATGCAGATAGTTCAGGAGTGGTTTTAGATTCTATGAAAGAGTTAGACACGAGACTAAAAAAAAGGCAAAGAGAACGAGAGGCTCAACACACATGGTATCAGGGTCTGTTCAACTTCTCCCCATGGTTAACCACCTTAGTATCTGCCATTGCTGGTCCTCTTATTCTCCTACTTGTGCTCTGTACCATTGGCCCTTGTATTTTGGGCAAAGTTTTGGCCTTCTTAAAAGGCAGATTAAGCCAGTTGGATTCCAACCTGTCACGAACTCAAAAACAGGTAAATACTCTCATATCCCATACACAAGAAAAGCAACCTTTGTTATCATTCTCCTCGGACTCAGACAACGATGAAATCATCAAAAGTGTTGGTAAGGATAAAACATGCATCCTAATGCATTTGCAAGCCTCAGACTCAGAAGAGGAGGGGGCGAGCAAGAATTACCATTAGGTAGTGTTGATATCACTTTCCAAAATAAATAAAAACAGAGGAGATGTTGCAATGTACTGGTACTGACTGTTACGCTAAACGTGGCAATGCTCAACCTTGTAAAAGTGATGGATGGACAATGGAATGTAGCCATGTGATAAGGTGCTGTGTGGAAAAGTACTGGCTGGAGAAACGGAGAAATGAGAGTAATATGGGAGAAACGAAAGTTATGGAGATAAGAGTAACTGGGAGGAGCTAAGAAGTAGGAGCATAAGATACCAGCTATGGCATAGGTTTGCATTAGCATAATTATGTAGAAAGCTTCTTTGTCCTGCTATGACGTATGCATGTAGCCTATAAAAGGAGTACCCACCATTATTAAAGTGCCTTTTCATCCCGAGTAAACACTGGTGCCGTGTGTTTATTTATTTACCATGAGAAAGCCCAGGGCTCTGAGTTCAGACCCTGTCGTCGCCAGGAGGCAGGCAGTGAAAAGCCACAGCAGTTGGTGCGGTGTCAGGGATTTTCGGTTCAATGTGTGGAGGGTGAAAGATGTGTGTGTATTTATTGTCATGGTCATGGTCATGATGTGCACTGAAGATGGTGTTTGATTTCGTTGTACGAGGTGCAATGACAATAAAGTAAATTAAATTAAAATCAGTTAAGTTCACTTTGGCCCAGTTAACCAATTTATGCAGTTCAGTTCTATGGGTTTGCACAACTATGCCATAAACTAATAATACACAAGCTGGATTTATATAATGGGGTAGACTAAAATATGGGTGGTTAGTTTGTGGTTCAGTGCCTCATGCAAAGACTATTGTGAGGTGAAATATCTAATTAACTGCAAACTACCAATATTTACAGGGGCATCATAAAATCATGGAAGGGGAAGATTTGTACCATCAACCCAATCCCCACTTCATATAAGAATCCGAATTAAAGCATCTCAGATATGTCACTAGATACTCCACTTAATTCATGTGTTTAATTTTTGGTTCAATGTGCAATCTAATATATTGGGATTACGTAGATCATGACTGAGCTATGATAAATATGTGTGAACATAACAGAACCATAATCTTTGTGCAGTTTATCCTTCTTTTGAAGTGTTTTGTTTGTAAAGTTCATATACTGTAGAAAACGCTGAAAAGATTTTAAAAAATAAATAAAAAATTTCTAAAAATTTAAAAAATAGAAACAAAGGTAGAATTCATTGTAAATTCAGTAAATGTAGTGCAAAAATAATGCACTATAATAATTCAACGTAGTTTTAAAACTAGGAGCAAAAATTAACATTTCAAACGTGTGTCTTACGTTGCCTTTGTTTTGCTCCACCCCGCCCCATGGTAATTTTACCCTCTTTCCACTAGCAGCCGGAACTGCGGCCTGGATATGATTCAATTGCTGTTTTCCCTATGTGCTGCAAAGGTAGGAGGTGCTGACTGAAATCTATGCTGGGTTGAGGGGACGCTTTCTCTCTGTGTGGTACCGCTGGCAGGTTGTAAGAGGTTCGATGGTTACTTATCGCTCGCACTTGGGTTTAGAGAACACATCTGGGGAAGGAGAGAAAGAGATCGTGTGCCGGAAGGGCGGACGAGATTTTGGTGACTGTCCGTTGTCAGCTTTTCCTGCGCGGTAAAACCCATGGAGAGAAAAAAAAATGGATAGGCGACGAATGGATTTGTTTGAGTCGCTGGGTGAAAAACATTTGTTTTTCTAAGGCACGATTCGGGGCGTGTACAGAGGTATGTTGGTATGACGAGCAAGCCAAGTTCTAACCTAGTGTCTGACGCGAACTCAATTTGTGCGTCTAGTTTTTGGTTCAATTTGCAATCCAATATACTGGGGTTAAGTAAATCATGGTTAAGCTATGATCATGTGTGTGAACATACGCAACCATAGTCTTTGTTTTCTTAAGTACAATGGCGACTTTGCACGTTCTTTATGCCTTATAAAGGTTGTTTCCTTGATAACTTTCCTAAAATAATTATTAGTATTTCACTTCCTTGCTCCTTGAATTATCTTGTGCCTTCAGGCAAGTTTCCCCAGCCTATCTATATTGCAGATTTTGAAATATAGATTGTAAGCATTTTTTAATACCTCTTCCTCCTGGTAGATTTAATTTTACATGGTAACATCTTTAAAAGCATGTTGTATAAGTACTTAAGTTTAACTTGATTGAAAATATGTAATTTTATAAAGTTAAATGTTATTTTTATGATGTCAATGGGACATGTAAACTTAGATGGAGACTAACCTGCTGGCAGATTTTAAATTATTTCAATTTAATAGTGTTTACTACATCTTAAAATAATTTTCTATCTGATTACAAATAGGGAACATTGGTTTCTTTCTGTTGGTGTAATTATATCAGTTGCAAAGTTGCAAATTTTGATTATATACAAATAACCTTTGGCCAGTAATAAGTAACTTGATAATATATAAACGCTATTGTAAGGTTAATAATGTATTTGCATTTTGAAAGAGTCTCATAAAGATCAAAAGACCACCTATTAAATAGCTGTGTGTATGTAAATCTGAACTTTACATACAATCCTCATTTTTTTCATGCTTATGTCTTGCTGAACAAAACACAGGAATTTTGAGAGAATTGTTTCTTATAAACTAGTATAAATTGGGGTTTGGGCAGTTTGGAATATGTGATTTTGGATGTTTTTCATCTTTAGTATCATTTTCCTGGTTAGTCTAGAGAATCATAAAATGTATGTTTGAAGTGCCAACATGCCTTTTAAAATTTCTTCTCATGCCTATATTTATAATAGTAATAACCTAAACAAATTTTCATATTTTTAAAATTCTTTTTCCTCAGGTGTTTCTCCCTTTCATAAATGGTTATCATTTGACCAGCAAAATGTGCTACTCTTAATTCTGAAAAATAAGAACTGCATTAGACTGACTAAATGCAATGGATTAAATAAATAATCCTTGAGTTTACTCAAAATGATATTGAGCTGAGCATGGATGCAATCGTCTTGGAATATTGGTTAGTTAAGGACAGCACCAACTAAAGCAGCAGGATTATAAAATGGTAGGTGTTCCTAATTTATTATCTTGAAAAGTACTTATTTTATATGTTGACAATATGCAACCTTTATTCATATTAACAGAGTTATCTGCAGTGGAAAACTATCAGATAAAATACTGTTTAGATGTAATTCCTACTTAAGTAGTTCTGGTTTTTTTCCGTAATGGGGCTTATTCTAAAGTGTCTGGATGTAGCTTCTGTTTACTCTCACTATTAACGAAGCTCTGCTTAGCAGCATCAATTCCAATATTCCTGGTTGCAGTTGTTAAAAGGACCTAATTTTATTCTTGTCATTCCATGCTGACCTCTTTTTCAACTCTCCCAAGGACCATCTCCCCCCCCCCCATCTCTGCCCTTTTGGCTGCCCTGCACTCTGCTGCATAGCCTACAAACCCCAGCTGACCTTTGCCATCTTCTTCTTGCTATTGATGAGGTGCACCTGGGTAAGGCAGCTGGTAGTCCTTGGAAGACATTGTGAAAGACCTGCAGCTGCCTTGGTGAGGCATACTTCTTCACAGCAGGAAATAAAATATGGCAAAGTCAGTTGGGGAAGCCTGGTAGGTGATGGTGGCAGAGGAAAAGGTGTCCAAAAGGGCAGAGGTGAGGCGGAGACAGGTGAGTGGAGAAGATTGATGTGCACACTGCTGCCATAAATGCAGGTGGACTGCCAAGCACATAAATTTAGATCATGTGACCACAAGGGTTATAAATGCTAAGTTTTTGGCAGAGTGCTACAGGAAACAGTCCAGGCCAAAAATGGGATGCTGGGTGTGGGCTCGCGTGGCCACCCCATGCCCCATTTTGGCTTTCAGAGGTAGCACGGGTTGGTTCTTTACTATTTCCAGGCTGTTCCAGTGGGCCAGATTTAAACACCCTTGAGTTTGACATCCCTGCCATAGAGAATGAAAAAAAAGTTAACAAATAAATTTAGACATAATTTCTTAGGATTTCATATTGTAACTTAGCAGGATATAATTTAGATAGAAAGGATAATGGTTTATTTGCAGGGCTGATGAAATGGCTTGTTTTTCACCTTACTGTTGATGCTTTTTCTGATATAGTTAGTATTTAATCACTATTTTTGTAGCAATCTTTTCAGATAATGACATTGTTTTCATAGTACAGATGTAAAGTTGAAGTAGAGAGATTAAAACTTACACAAAGGTACCAAATAGTTCATCACTGGATATTTGTACCATAGATTTCCAATTCATGATTATATTGTTATTGTATACAATTATAGTTTGGAAAGTTACTAGATTTTTGTTCTTATATTGCCTGTATTCTCAGCAGTCATTTTACAGGGTTTCAATAATAATGCTCTAAATTATATAACACATTCCAAATTAATACTGTAGTTTATAAAAATAAACAATTTTGACACAAGTTTTTTGATAAAAAATTTCAGGAAACAAATGGAAATATTAGACAAAATAGTCTCCCCCGAAGACCAAGCATGCTGTGAAGATGTTTTGCAAAACAACTTACCTTGAAGATACAGTGACTTCACACTTACTACCTTCTACTGACATATTTAGCCTGCTCAGAGATGTTTTTTGCATTTTCTAGAAAAAATGTGTCCCAAAAATTGAGTTTATTGTTGCTAGTTTTTGGTTTTATCTGGGGCATAATGTTACTGCGCTACACCTTTCAGCATCCAAGACAACAGAGCAGTGCTGAATTGCGTGAACAAATTCTTGACTTAAGTAAAAGATACGTTAGAGCCCTAGCAGAAGAAAACAAGAATGTAATAAATGGTGATAATGGAGTTGCAATGGCGGGATATGGTAAGCCTACATAATCTCTGTAAATTCATCCTCAGTTTAGTGTTTCAAAATATATAAAACAATATTATTGTAAAAGCATAAGACATTTTTATATTTATAAAGTGAAACTACTGTTTGCTACATATTCAATGTTCTACTAAAGTTGAACATACTATAATAGCTTTCATTTCTAAGAAATATTAGACTGCCCTTAATATTAAAGAGCTTGTATATTGGCATTGGATATGGTATGTCTAGAAACATTTTGCGTTGAATAAGTTTTTGCCTAATAGTAAAAATGTAAAATTTCCAGAACTTTTGAAACAATGGAGGATTTGGGAGAAATTCAAATAAGATGTTTTTTAATTGATTACATATGAATAATGTTTTTCAAGGTATTGTTATGAAGGTTTACAGAGGTATATTAGATAAGTAACTTGTTTATTAGGCAACTCTAATTTATATGGTATATTTAGTGTTTTTGTTACAAAGGAAAGTTCTAGAGCAGAGGTCTCCAAACTTGGCAACTTTAGGACTTGTGGACTTCAACTCCCAGAATTCCTCGCTGGCTGAGGAATTCTCGGAGTTGAAGTCCACAAGTCTTAAAGTTGCCAAGTTTGGTGATCCCTGGTTAGAGCAGGGGTCGCCAACCTTTTGGACCTCAGGAACCAACAAACTCATAATTTTAGATCCCAGGGACCACTAACCGGTTCTGTAGGTGTGGCCTAATTTGTGGGTGTGGCTTGGTGGTCATGGGACTGTCTGGGCATGGCTTGTATGTAAATATTATAAATATTTATATAAATATTGAATTTTTTATAAAAGAGCAACTTTTACCCCAAATTAGGCAAAACAGGCAGATTGAGTTGCTCACAGAATCACAGAATCATTCAGTGATCTATCTATCTGCCATCGGCTAGCTCAGTCTCTCAAATTTGCTTGCTGTGAGTCTGCACTGAATTGCTTGCAAGCAAACCTTCAGTCCTAAGGGAGGTTCGGTTGTGCTGAGCCGAAGATCTAAAGACTAGCATTTCCTGCTTCCTAATTAATCTAAATCTCCCGGCACAGCAGAACAGATGATGGTTGGAAAAAGGAAAAATAGCAATTTAGCAGGCAAGTTTACCAGGTAAGGAGTAAGTGGGCAGGGAGAGTTCCTGCGGGCCATGTGGGCGGCGCAGCCTTGTGTTTCTGCCCAGCCTGGATTAACTGCTTTGTGGGGGTGCTTTGTGGTTGAGATTTCTCTGTGGCCCATCAAAATTTTCTCACAGCCCACCAGTGTGCCATGGGCCACCAGTTGATGACCACTGGTTTAGAGTCTTGTGCTCTAAGGAGTATAGTATGTATTTAACCTATTTAATAAGACTAAAGAAAAAAAATTAAAACTGAAAAATGAACATAAACAGTATATTTTAAAAGTTTGCATATGTTGTATTTTTTTCCATTACATTAAACAGATACAGAAAAAGTTGTATCCAGGAAAACAGTGAGAAAGCAACTATTTTGCCACATGAGATTTTGCCTGTGCAGTGTCACTTTCTGAATATACTTTTTTTCCCTTCTAGCTGATCTAAAAAGAACAATCGCAGTTCTTCTAGATGACATCTTGCAACGCTTGGTCAAACTGGAAAACAAGGTTGATTATATGGTTGTAAATGGTTCAGCAACAAATACTACAAATGGGAACTTAATGCCATCAACTACAAGCAAACGAGTAAATGCAGGACACAATATAAGATAATAGTCAAAATATTTTTTGCATAGGTGGAAGAGCTTTAGATCTAATCTTCAGTCGCAAATAGTTGGCTAAAGGCAGTCTACATCCAGTTGCAGCAGAAAAAAAATGAACATACAGAGAACCAATTTCTTTATCTTAAAATCTTTGTATTAAGAAAGTTGCTTCATAAAACAACATTGTACTGTAACTTTTTGAAAAAGGTATATTGGCAATAAAACTATTGTAGGAAGGTAAGTAGATAATATACACACAAAATATCAAAGGTCAAACTACCTAGAAAATTCCCTCAAAACAAAAGGAAAAAAGTTCTAACAATAGGAAAGAAAAACATGAAGAAATTGATGGAATGAATTGCAAACTATTCCTACTGCAACAGGCCAACCATCAGAAATGTTCTATATGAAAACCAAATCTTTGAAACTAAACAATATTTCTAGGGAGTGATCTCTTAGCAAAAGAAATTTTTTTTCCTGAGGTTGCCATTTAACAGTAACAAGGAATTTTGTTCTCTGCCTCATGGAGATGCTGCTCTCACAAACTGAGCAGCTGCCTAGCCTTTTGGCAGTTTCCCGCTCACGAATGGTACAAAGTTGGGATCCCACAACTCTTACACGAGCTCTAAATTGGGGACACTTATTTCGGCATCTTTACAGCCGTCTTCGGGCTCAACCAACCCTCCGGGAAGCTTTGAAGCAACAGCTGAAAAAAAAGAGCTTAATCAGGTTAGGTCACTTGAAGCGCTGCCCAGAGCTTCTGGGTTTAGCACTGCTGGAAAATCCGGCGTTGTCTTCTACCACCCGCCATAGTCTTTTCTGCAGCTTCTTGATCCCAGCAACTGGTGGAGCGGAGCCCTTCATCAGTCTACTGGCAAGACGCAGAGCTGCCTCTCAACTTCTTGCTCTCTTGGAACCTCCTATAAAAGGAACAGCTGGTATTGAACAATGGGAAGGGCTGCCAGTGAGAGTACAGGCTCAGATGCTGCTTTCACAACTACAAGGTGACGGAGATGGTGATGGGAACCAAGGTCGACCTTCCTCTGCCTTGTTAGACTCGTTGCCCTGTGGTTCCATGCTGTACCGAGTTGTGGCTGTGGCATTGATGGAGCCTGATGGGGAAGAGAAGGCCAAGATGTTGCTCCTCCCTTGGTTGCTGTTCGGAGACCCAGCTCGTCTCTTGTCCTTCTGCCGCTTTTTGTCTCCCCAGTGTTTGGCTTCACTTTGTGCCCGTTACTCTGAATTACTTGCTTCCTATTTGAGTTTCCTTTCATCCTGGGGAAACTGCCTCATTTATGATCCTCTGCATGGGAAATGGCAAACTAGTGATGTAAAAGAAGATGAAGTACCTTGGGAGGAGATGCAGGACCGTATCAGTTGCCTTTACCAGGAGTCAGAGCCTCTGGGCAGTGCAGTCCAGACTTGGCTAAGACAGCTCAAGGCCCAGGATGGGAACTTTGAAGTTAGGGGTCTGAGCATTTGGACTGACATTTTGCTGGATATGGAGATGCCTCATTTTGAAAGGAAACCTAACTTGCATTAATTAAAGATGTTGAGTAGAAAAGTATAGGTATTATACAAATCAAGTGTAAAATTCTATGATAATTACAGATAAAGTATACATTTAATATCTAAATAAATATAAATGGGAAACTAGCTTGATCTTATGAACTGGTTTACTAATCCATAGTGAAGAAGGAATGCCTTTAAAGTGAGCACTGTTAAGTATAGATAGGTTAAATATTTTAAAATTAGTAGGCAGATTTTTGTTCCAATTGAGATTTGTACCATCTCAAAGATGGTGATTCAAAGAGTGTCTTCTTTTTGCACTGTGAAATAGCTTGAGAAGGAATGTTTTAAAAATAGTTACACTTCAGAAAAATCTAAAGTAGCAATGTGCCAAAGTGTAATCTTGCTACAGAACTAGAGCAGTTGGTTAAAAAATTGTAATGTATATAACTATTCTAGAAACATTTAATACATGTATTTAGTAACTGAAGATATAACCTGTGATGGAGTCACATTAATTGGATGTTGAACACTATTAGCTTCTTATTCATTGCTTTCCTATTCAATATATTTTTACAGCTGATGATACATAGGGCATACTGTATCTTAAGTTACTCCTGAAATAAACACAAGAGGAGTGAGTTGAACTTTGACTATAAGAAGTGAGGCATTTTGATGTTTACTGAAAATCTATACTAAAGCAGTACAGTCTGTTATCCACACAATTCTTGTGAAGCAGTAATAACGATTTATAACCAAGATCTTTTAAATGAACTTGAAATAGGAACACAGAGGTCAGCATTGCCTTATATCCATGTTAGCCTTATAGAGGAGAATTGTGAAGGTGCTCTATAGTACAGTGTACATTCTTCATCATAAATTATAAAATGAAGTGCCAGTTTGGGTTTTGCACCTGTGTAGAATGATTTGTAGAAGGATCGTTCTGCTATTTTTGCTTAGAATATATTATGTGGTTTAAAAAATATTTAGAAAAAAAACAAGATTTGTGGTTCTAGATATAGTTTCAAATTATGTTCTTTTCATGACTGTAATATCTGAAAAGGTTAAATAAAATATATGTCCATGCTATGAGTCCCTATTGATCTTTTTCAAAAGTTTTAATTAGTTTTTTTCATTGTAATCCTGTAAAGCAGGGCTGTCAAACTCCTGGCCCGTGGGCCACACTCATGCCCAGTTTAGCAAAGGGGAGAAAGCCACGATATGTCATGTGACGCAGCTGTGACGATGTGAGTTTGACATGCTGTAAAGTAACATATATCCAGTTGCTAGTGTTGGTTTAATGTCTATCCGATAAATAAAACAAGAAAGTTTGGTTTAGTGATTAAGGTATCAAGTAAAAAGCAGGAACTTCTGAGTTTTAGTCCTAGGCAGCTGGGGAAACTTGTGCTAATTATTTTCAGTTTCAGGAGAAAAATGAAACTGCAGGGATGTATCCAAGGAGTCTCTAGGAATCAACATTGACTCAAAGAAAAAAATTAATAATAGAATAAAAGGGAGATCCTATGCCTACTTAGTTCTAAATATATCTTGCCAACCTATTCATTTACAGGTAGTCCCCAGCTTATCACAATTGAGCCCAAAACATGTATAAATAAAACTCAACATATATGTTCAACCATACGTACATAGTTTTTTATATATAATAAATAAAACTCAAAGCAGAGAACATATCTAAGGGTCCTGCTTCCTGCTGTACTTTCTCCATAACTATGTGAATGGATTGGGCTGGGCTGAGAGAAAGGGTCTGTCTAAAATCATTTAGACAGCTTTCATGGCTATGGCAGAATTTCGACCTCAACCTTGTGGTTTGTACACCAGCGTTTTATATTGTTTCTTAGCTTTGGCAACTTGGAAGACGTGAACTTCAATCCCAGAATTTTCTAAGGAGCATGCTGTGTGGGGAATTCTGGGAGTTGAAGTCCATATACCTTCAACCTGTCAAGTTTGTGAGATGCTGCCTTGCTACTGTATCAAACAGGCTCGGTTTATATAAAATACTAGCTCGATACCCTTGCTTCGCTATGAAACTATGTGGTCAGACTTAGTTTTTGGGGAGGAAAATAAGGTGGCGGAAATTCTGCCTCTGCTTACCAGCATCCATGGTATTCATCTGGCTAGCATCTTGCCAGTGTGTGAGACAGTTGAGGGCTGTTTGGAAACTGAAACAGTATTTGCTATGCGAACAAGAAGACAGCAAGGAGCCTTGGCATGGCTTAGGTCAACTTTTATACTAAAGCTGGTTGCTCCTGTGAAACTAAAACTGAAAGGGAAACTTCTCTGCTTGTATAGAATAGAACAGAACAGAATTCTTTATTGTCCAAGTGTGATTGGACAAGGAAAGAATTTGTCTTGATGCAAATGCTGTCAGTGTACATAAAAGAAAAGATACATTCGTCAAGAGTCAAAAATCATAAGATACAACAATAGTCATAGGGTACAATAAATCATACTAGGAAACACTCAATATAAATCATAAGGATGCAAGCGACAGTTACAGTCATAGTCACAAGTAGGAGAGGATGGGTGATAAGGAGTGATGAGAAGATTAGTAGTAATAGTAGTGCAGACTTTGTAAATAGTTGGACAGTGTTGAGTGAATTATTTGTTTAGCAGAGTGATGGTGTTTGGGAAAAAACTGTCCTTATATCTAGTTCTGGTGTGCAGTGTCCTGTAGCGTCGTTTTGAGGGTAGGAGTTGAAACAGTTTATATCTAGGATGTGAGGGGTCTATAAATATTTTCACAGTCCTCTTTGACTCATGCAGTATACAGGTCTTCGATAGAGGCAGGTGGGTAGTAATTATTTTTTCTGCAGTCTTAATTACTCTCTGAAGTCTGTGTCTGTCCTGTTGGGTTGCAGAACCAAACCAGATAGTTATAGAGGTGCAGATGACAGACTCAATAATTCCTCTGTAGAACTGTATCAGCAGCTCCTTGGGCAGTTTGAGCTTTCTGAGTTGGCACAGAAAGAACATTTTGTTGTGCTTTTTTGATGACGTTTTTGATGTTAGGTGTCCATTTTAGGTCATGTGATATAGTAGAACCTAGAAATTTGAAGGTCTCTACTGGTGATACTGTGTTGTTTAGTACTGTAAGAGGTGGTAGTATGGGAGCGTTTCTCCTAAAATCTACCACCATTTCTAGTTTTGAGTGTGTTCGGTTCCAGATTGTTCCGGTTACACCATGAGGCAAGTTGTACAACCTCCAATCTGTATGCAAATGTGTCGACCAATCACTATTGGATCATCTTCAAACTTCAGTATTTTAACAGATGGATCGTTTGAGATGCAGTCATTGGTATATAGGGAGAAGTGGAGAAAGCACGCAGCCTGGGGGGCCTCCTGTGCTGATTGTACAGGTATCAGATGTGATTCTGCCTAGCTTCACCTGCTGCTTCCTCTCTGTTAAGAAACGTATGATCCATTTACAAGTGTGTTCAGGTACTGCTAGCTGGTTTAGTTTAGTTAGAAGAATGTCTGGAATGATGGTATCGAATGCTGAACTGAAGTCTAGAAAGAGGACCCTTGTGTTTTACATTTAGAACATAGTTCTTTTCAGTGGGGAGGGGGGAGTAGAACTCCTTAGCATTCAGAGCATATTAATAAAATATGAAATACTAATGCTCTGATAGTCATTTTGAAAAATTCTTTCTTAGTGAGCACCTAGAAGCCAAGAGGAACATAAGTGGCAAATTTTAAGTTTGTGGGCTT